GCGGCGCGCCACCTGCCCTGGGGAGGGACGTGGGAGGCCGCCCCTGGGAGTCTGGTCTCGGGGGAATCCCCGTTGAGGTGGCGCCGCACGGGCAAAATCGCCGCTGAGGACGACTCCTTCGGCGGGGAAAACAAAAGGCGGGTAAAGCCGGCCCAAACGAGCGGGGAGAGCCGGGAGAGCGCGGCCGCTGGGGCGAGGGGCTGAGGGACCGTCCCGCCCCTGTGGGGCCAGGGCATCTCAGAGGCTTCCGATTAACTAACACGGAAGCTCTGGGAAACCTGCCAGAAATACATAAGAAAGGAGGGGAGGAGGAAAAAAAACAACCAAACAACCACCAAAAAACCAAAACCCCAAATCCCAACACTCTACTCCAGTGGCTGTCGAGTAACGGGGTGTAAAGAGAGGCTGGCAAAAAGGCAACTGAATAAAACCTGAAAGAGATTTTACCAGGTCAAGATCAAGGAGATCATAGGAACAGGATAACAACTGCTTAAGCAAGATAAAGAGTTCGTGCACCGGTGTACAAACCCGCTATTATGTTAATTTGCCAGCAGCGCGTGCCTTTATGGCCATGGCGTGACTTAGGGAAAACCACCTCCAAACTTCAAAGGCGGTTGGGTGCGAGCACCCCCCTTCTGCGTGCTGCCCTAGCACCAGCACTTCCAGAGGGGAACCTCATCGAAAGGAGGTGGCTTCATAGAAAAAGGCAGTACACGGATTTCCTTGTCTGTCCCAGCTTTTTCTTTCACCACCTGTTTAATTTCTAGGCTAATGCAACCGTTATGTACTCAGATGCTTCTTGAAAAACAGGCAAATATTTAATGCTTCGAGCTAAGTGATGCCCAGTGTCATAAGCTTTTGTGTTTCTCCCTGTTTTGTACATTTGCCCAGTTTTGAATATGGAGATCTGCTGCAGGAGGAAAAGGCAAGGACACAGAAGCCAAACTTGAGTACTTGAATAAAGTTCTTAGGAGGAATGTGTGCTTTTAGACATGCAAAAGAAAAATAAGCAGAATTGAGTAATATTTTAATTTTGTTTGGTTAATGTGTAGTCTTTCAAACTATCCAGACTTAAAGACAGCAGTCTTAAAATACATGGAAAAGAAAACACATTTTGTTATCAATTAGAAAACATATACACAAACTAATAGCAGGATGTTCGTAAAACTGTTCTGGCAGTTATTAGCAGAGATTTTTTAAACTGAAAAACCTGCAGACTTTCATGTGTATGCAATATATCTAGTGATAACAAACTCCATGCTGACTTTTAGAAGTCACATACAGAGCTGGAAACCCAAATTTGCCTTCCCACATAAAGCCCAATATTTAGAAGAGACAAGTAATTTTATTTAGAATGAATTTTCAAAATTTGATCAGAATATTCAGTTTCAGCACATTTTAAGTTAGTGGATTTTTCCCTGAAAGTTTTCCATCAAGGTCTACACGTTCCTGTAATATATTTAAACTTTGCTCGAAGTACATTATTTAGGGTTCTGTGAGAAATGTTTACAGCAAGGGTTATTTTTAAGAAAATCTTTCAAAAGTGTTATATACATACACACATCTTACTTTAAATACAGGTATCCAAATGTGCAGGCAAAAATGCAAGAAGAAGTGGACAGGATTGTTGGAAGAGACCGCCTGCCATGTGCCGAAGATCAGCCTCACCTGCCCTACATCACGGCTTTCTTGTACGAATCCATGCGTTTCAGCAGCTTCGTGCCTGTCACTATCCCACATGCCACCACAACCAACACCTTCATAATGGGCTACCTCATCCCCAAGGACACGGTGATATTCGTTAATCAGTGGTCAGTAAATCACGACCCAGCAAAATGGTCCAACCCAGAGGATTTTGATCCAACAAGGTTTCTGGATGAGAATGGATTCATTAATAAAGATCTTACGAGTAGCGTAATGATTTTCTCACTGGGAAAGCGTCGGTGTATTGGAGAGGAGTTATCCAAGGTGCAGCTCTTTCTCTTTACCTCCATACTGGTGCATCAGTGCAATTTTACTGCCAATCCAAATGAGGACCCTAAAATGGACTTTACCTATGGGCTGACCATTAAACCTAAGCCATTTACCTTGAATGTTACACTTAGAGATACTATGGATTTGCTTGATCAGGCTGTCCAAAGACTGCAAGCAGAGAAAGCAGTCAATGAAAATCAGCTCTCAGCAAATGCCTAAGAAACAAACCTTGTATCTAAAGATAATCCATCTCTCTCTTTTAGACTTACGTAAGTTATAGTTTGTTCTGGTGATCTTTGTGGAAATTAGCCTATATTGCAAGAGCAGGAAGGTAAACTGCACAAGGTGTAATTCAGCCCTCTTTTTAAAAATTCTAGAAGGAGAGCCAGGAGAACAATTTACTATATTAAATGATAAAACATATGCAATTTGAAAGTAAGCCTTTACTTTTCTAGCTTGTTCACAGAAGTTGCCATTGTAAAGCACTTTTTATCTACTGACTGGTTGGAACATCTCCAGGAACTCTTTGTACAAACCTTTCCATGTCTCCATACACCATGCCTTAACTCTGAGTTTACCTTCAGTGACTCCACATCCCAAAGTGAAATCTCTTATTAAAAAAAAATAAATAAAAAAAGGAGTTGCTCAGAATACTGCAGCCTGCCTCCAAATTCACTCTACCAGAAACTGCCATAGGCACATGGCAGCTCCTGTGCTGTGACTGCTGGGGCGTACATTAATGCCTCAGACAATAAATGTTCAAATGACTTTTGGTAAAATGACAATGTAAAGTCTTGCTTTTAGCATACTGAAGTGTTTACATAAATGCCTAAAAACCAGACTTGCTTATAAGCACATTTGAAAATAAAATTTGTGTTTTATATAAGAATGAACAGAATGTCCAAATATAGTAACTTTTCATTAAGTTTTGAAAGATCGGATTTGATATATCACCAAATAGCAAGGGTGATACAAACCTTATGCTAATCTTTTCATTAGCATATTCTTTAACAAAATAGATAGTTGAATTAGAAAGTTTTATAAAGGTATAGCTGAACTTTGTATTTCTCCAGTAAAGAGTTAACATCCCTGTCCCTAGGCACATAGGTAAGTCCTGTTAAATCCACATGGGCCAAGGTATTTAGAGGTGAGAATTTGGGGGGTTTATATTAAGACCTTCATGCAACAAGCCTCAAGTAAAGAGTACAGCAAATACAGTCCTGCTGACTAGTCACTCTATTAGGTTGTGTTAAATAATATATACAAAAATCAACTATGTACTTGTAGTACAATTTGCCTGGAACGAAGTCTCAGAAGGAAAACTAACATTACATGCCCTAATTAATGTACCCATTAACTGAAGAAAAAGTACTTTTAAAATTTTTGTGAGACGACATAAAATAAAAAATACCCAACCAAACCAAGACTATTATTTTAAAGTAAAACACATGCACACACACATGAAACTTTATGGCCTTGAACCTCTAGCTGATGTTTGCGTACAGAAAGCTGCATGTATTTCTCTGAAAAAGCAAACAATCCAGTGTGAATGCCAGATTTTGAAAAGCATTGGGCATGTCTTTGGACCTGCAGATCACCTCCAATTACATACGAAATCCGTCAGAAATGGGAGTACCTCACATGCCTTGCTGTGTTCAGCCTACGACTAAATATGCTATCAGTAGAGCTAGAAAACTAAGGGTGCAGTCCTACATAGCAAAGTAGCTCTGCTGAGATCTAAGCACATAAATGTTTGCACTGGGCCTTTTCTAGATGGCCATCTGTAGTCAGGGTGGCAGCAGTGACAGAACTCGGACTGATGCTAGGAAGGGCTGGGTTAACACCTCAGTCCAGATGATCTTATGTAGAAGCTTCGCTACTGATTTTAAAAACGTGAATCAAGCCTAAAGTACTGCTCTGTAACCCCACACAGCACTAATGTGCCTTTTTAAAGTCTCTGACTTCATATGGCACTTATCTTGGCTTTTTAGAGCTAAAGAAAAAAATAAATCTTTCTATTACATACACAAGGAGTAACCTCAGGTGTTTTTCTGACTTACATACAAGTCTGTGATATCCTAGAACTTAGCCTATACCTGTGAAAAGCTTTATAAGATACTCGCCAATTTATTATGGAGATCTACATTAGATCAAATGCTAGCAAGACAATCTTCCTTGTAGCTATTAAGTATTGTTATTAAAAAAATATAAAGGATGTAACTTACAACTGAATAGTTATTCTAACGCAAGGATCACTGATTCATATTTTAATACAAACTGCTTTTGCAATTTTGTACTCTTCCAAAAGCTTTAACTATGCATTGGCTACTAATGCAACATACGATCATGCTGCTCATGTCTGTCAGGGGGTCACATGCTACATAGCTGTTGGTCAAATAATGCCTCATATAATCTGTCGAGTTACTCAAATTTAGTAGCACCCATTTAGAATGTATGCAGTTGTTCAGCGAGCTAACTTTTACGGTCATTTTGAGATATATCGTTGTGTTACCAAAATACTAAATAAAATTATTCTTACACTGCCTTTGCTTAGTTTATGTATGGCATTCTAACATCAAGATAAACAAAATCATTATTTCTGATTTGGAAATTACTATTATTTTAGATATTTGTTAATATATTTTTCACCTTCTTCCTGTTTCTGTCTTTTCAGGTTTTTCTCAGTCCTGCCCTTACAGCATCTCAGGTCTGGCTGCTCATTCATGGCTTGCCTCCTGTGCTCAACCACCTCATGCTCCCTACTAAGAGCATTCCCTGCTGCTGGTCTCAGCAACCTGAATTCCATCATGTCCTTTGCTTTCCTCTAGTACCTCCTCAGCCTGCACCATCTCCTATGCTATGTTCTTCCCTCTGGCATTTCAGTTTACTTCCACCCCCCCCTTATTTCAAGCCCACAGACTGGTTTTCCTTTCTCTTTTTCCTTCCTGTATCGAGTGCTGGCATCTATATACTCCTGATACCAGAACCCCACCACTGCCCTTGGGACCAATTTGTGCTGTTTTGGCCTTGAGAGTGCCAGGAAGGAAATCTCAGGGCCAAACAGGACTTAGAGCAACCTCTCACAAAATCAAGGCCATACTGTGGTGGAGGGTGGCCATTATTGCAGATATAAACCATTTTTTTATGATGCAGCAGATCCACACCCCCTTTTTCTTGTATGTTTTTGTGAGTGGCAGGGACTGATGTGTAGGTCTGTCTGCAGGAAATTGGTTCAGATTACCCAGGCAAAGCAACCAGAGACTAGGTAATCAGGAGCTTACATTTTACCTGCAAAGAGTTGAGGAATCAGCCATGGAAAGTGAACAGTTATCATTGCTGCATCTTTAGCTTGGTTAAATTTTACTAAGAGTAATCATTTTCCCACAGTTATGGGGCAAATTCAACTTGGGGTAACACTGAAGGTGGATCCAGCTTTTTCATGGGTGCTGGAAAGAGCTGGACTCTGAACGCTGCCATTATTTTGGTACACAGTGCAACGCAGACACAGCGTTTTACATTTCAATAACTTCTTTGCTGTTTACTGCCCTGTGTTTTTGCAGCTGAGTTTTCCAGTCACTTGTGCTCAGACCAGGCCAACTCAATTGTCAGGTGGCAACAAGCTCAGTTTTAAGCACAAACAGCCTGGAGCATTTAAGATGGCTGTAGTGATGCTTTGATAGCCCGCCTCTGGGGCTTTCTGCCAAATTCTCAGACAGCTCCACTAACCAAAAAAGTCTTTGCTTTGTTAGTGTTGCCTTGTCCTTCAATACTTAGAGCAGATCTTGCTCCAGCCTGAAAGCACAAAGCTAGAGCTAACCAAATCAGACAAGAGTCTCCCAGTTCCCTACATCTTTATCTGTCCTGGATGTCTGGAGACACAGACCCATCACTAGAATTGACTCAGAAAATACAGGATGCTGAGGTATTTCAACCGCAAAAACAGAGGGAGGAAGGGAGTGATCGCACAGGGGACTTATTAAAGGTGCATAAATCAACTGCAGAGCTATATAGGAGTACTTTGCTGGAGTGGCTGAGGGCTAGAAGAGAAAAACATGTGTCTGAAGTGTAGGAAGATTCCAGCTAGGGAGGAACTGTGCACAGGGTCTCCGATTTCCAGGAAAAGAGATTTGATGTTGCTCATATGCACAGTGTCAGTATTAGGATGGTAAGAATCCACATTAAACAGGTTCACTCACATCACCATCAGGGAACATCACACTGAGGGCACCTGGACCAAACCTTACCATCACACCAGGCTGAAGATAGAATGAGCGATTATTTTCCTGAAAACTTTGGGCAAACAAAGGATGTGCAAATACTAACTTCTGACTGCCTGTTAACTCAATAGATTTGGGAGGTAGCAAACATGAGAACGAGAGCTGAGGAGCTAAACACAAGGGATCAGGCTGTCCCATACAGGCTGCAGGATTTGAAAACAAGAACAGGCTACAACAGAAAGCCAAGGAGAGCCTGTCATCCTCCCCCTCACCTCAGCATCCCCAGTGCCTGGGGACAACAGGGAAGAAAAGACAGCTCCGCTGCACCGGTGTAAACAACTTCTGGGGAAACTTTCCTCTTGATGTTCAGAGTGGTGGAAGGAGTGGGCAGTACATCAGACAAAACCTCGCTGGTCTGGAGGATCCATTCAGAGCAGGTCAGGGGCATTTGTCTGAGCAAGCTGAGCAGGAGGAGGTTTTTGTCAGAGCTGGCTCCTTCCATGCTATACACTTATGACTTCAGTATGTCGAGGGTTGCTCGATATCCCCTAGG